ATTACATATCATTATATATAATATATTTTTATTACATGTTATACATAATGTAATGAAATATGTTAATATTTGGTATTTGGTTAATAAATAAGTACACTTGCTGAGTCCTTTTAGTGTTGCTTATATGTATGTTTTTAGGTCTAGCCATTTGGTATTGCATAACCAATCAGGGAGCTCATCTCTGGGGAAGATGTAATTTTCTCTCTTAGCAGCTGCCTGTAGCTCATCTATGGGTGGCGCCCTGTGAAATATACCCCTTACACATTCGCATATCAACTGGTGTTGTCATTGTTCATGTCTAATTAGGCAGCCATGTTATTGAGATTTCTTGGGTTTAGCTTCCCAGTCATAGCTAGAGGACACACGATCTCCTAGCAAACTTCTGGTTCCCTGGCTCTTAAAATCCCTGTCAGCTTTCATGCTTCTCCCTGAGTGTTAGGAATAAGGACTGTGTTGAAGTTGTGCCATTTGGTGCTAGTACCTCACAATCAGTTGCTTTCTTTATTTTGATCAGTACAACATAGTATTTTCAATAGAAGAGGTTATTTTCAATATAACAAAGCAATTGTTCAACATTTTTAAGTCTGCAACCAGCTGGGTGGTGGTGGTACACTCCTTTAATGCCAGCACTTGGGAGGCAGAGGCTGACAGATCTATATGAGTTCAAGGCCAGCCTGGTCCACAAAGCTATACAGAGAAACCCTGATTCAAAAAATAAAAAAAGTCTGTAACCAAGCAGGATTTGAGTGGATTATGAAGAATTTAGTGGTTCTATGCTGGAAAAATACAAACTCCCTCCCTCCCTCCCTCCCCCTGGCTGGCCTCTTAACTCAGAGACCTACCTGTCTCTGCTTCTGGAGTACTGGGATTAAAAGCATGTGTCACCACCACCTGCTTAAACTTTTCAAACAAGCCAAACATAACATATGTTCAGCTGCTCAGGTCCACATAACCCCCTCAAACTTTTCCTTCCTCATTTTGAACATTTCCTCCTTCAGTCTTTGACTTTAGCTTTGATCATCTTGAGGCATATGTGTATGCTAGTGTGTGTGTGTGTGTGTGTGTGTGTGTGTGTAGTTTGGGATCTTCAATTTAGAAGCCACTTTAGGAACCTAGCAATGATAGGTTCATACGCTCATAAATGTTCCCACATTCCATCCACCCTTTCAGTAATTAACTCATTACTCATTTTCAAAAAAAATTATTTTTATCCAATTTTGACTCAAATATGGCCGTTTTTAAAGGTGACATATTCCTAAGTGAAAGATTTGCCAACATTGAAGATACCTCAAAGAATTCACTAGAAATTCACAGGAAATCTGAAAAGCGATGGGCAAAGCATGGTCCCTCAGTGTCAGCTGCACAGCCTGCAGGGAGAGCAGCCATACTCTAGGTTTGGGAGGGCGTGGATTCAGGTTTACTGTATCACTCACTAGCTATGCTATCAAAGAGAATACTGCATTTTTTATTCCAGCCACGGCTTCCTCCTGTGCAAAGAGATCACATGATCTGTGAAGACAGAACATAATCAGCCCGTGATAGTTATTAGCAAAGTCACATTCACACTGGGGGTGCGTTTGGTCATGAGTAATGACATTAATGTGGTTCATGTGGCCCACTGTGGTATTCCTTCATACTGTTTCTGCTATTTACTTAGCTTTGTGTTTCCTGCAGGAACGATTCCAGGTGAAGAACCCTCCCCATACATACATCCAGAAGCTCAAAGGCTACCTGGATCCAGCTGTAACCAGGAAGGTAAGGTAGATATGTTTCCACTCTTGGCTGTTGCATCTTCTTTAGTGGGCTGCATTATACATTCTTTTTGTTAGTTTTTTACCAAAGCTCTAGGCAAATAATCTTTGACAACCATCAACATGAGAGGACAAAGGGGAGAAAGTCTTCAACATGTCCCTCTGATACTGTCAGTTCCTATTGCTCAGAGTAGGGAATTGAGACCTGAGGTGCTTAAGCCTCTAACAAAGCAGGCCTTGTAAATGCAATGCTTGTCCTTCATGACTTGGTACACTTCTAGAACCCTGAAAAATCACCAGGGCTGTCCTCCACACCATTTTACCATATCCTGTGTTGGTGCTTCAGGCAGCTTCCTCAGCTCTAGCCCCATGACCAGCCCCAGCCCCAGCCCCCAGCCCCAGCTCAGCTCCTGACCCAAGAAGGTAAAGAGGGAATAGCTGATTTCATTCTTAACCACCTCTCCCTTTACAAACAAGCCCTGCTTTGTGTGGATGCACAATTGGCCTAAGCTAATGCCTGTGGTTAAGCATGTCGCCTGGCACAGCCCCGCAGGCTGGGTCAGCCCTGGATGGCTCAGGGCAGAGCTATCCTTGATGACTGTGGGTAAAGACGCTTTGTACCAGATAGCACTTGTCTCCCCTTGGCCTTCTACAACTGTCCCTTTCAAGACTTCTCAAGCTGAATTCCCTGTGTGTGTCAGTGGTGACTCGTGAGAGAAGAAAAGCATACTTCTCCTGGTTAGCTTTTTGCAGGGATTTTGGCTCACTCTTCTCTTTCCTTTTTTTTGTTCTCTCTCTCTCTCTCTCTCTCTCTCTCTCTCTCTCTCTCGCCAAAAAAAAGAAATGTCCTGCAAAAAAAGTGTAGCTCATATTTCCTCTGAGTATTTATCGTCTGGTTTACTTATGGACAAGAGGGTTTTAAACAATAGAAATGATGGGTGAACTTGGAGATCCTGACACTAAAGAGATGACTCAGTGGTTCCAATACTTGTTGCTCTTTTAGAGGACCTGGGTTCAGTTCCCTGCACACACATGGTGACTCATATATCTGCAACTCTAGTTCTAGGACACTCAATACCTCTTCTTACCTTCAGGGGACACCAGGAATGCACATTGTATGCATACTTTCAAGCATTCAAAACCTTCATGTGCATAAAATAAATAATTTTTTAAAAAAGAAAATGAAGAACCACACTTTGGATTCATGCTATACAAATCTTGAATGTCCCGTGGTTTCCCTCATCTTCTGTGAATGTCTCTGGTACTATTTCTCCCCCTCAGAAATTTGTAAAAAGGTCTGCATTCAACACCTCCCCTTCAAAAAGTAATAGCTGCTTAATTCTTGTTAGTTTCTAGTATTTATTTTTTGACCTGAGCATGCAGTAGCCTTAATTTTATAGGTTAGGGAATGATGTGACATCAAACACCTAACATATAAAAACATAAATCTCATTTGTTTCAAAAGCTGTTTTGTCTATACCACTTGTTTCTGCAAGGATACTCAGTCTATACCAAAGAGTTCTGGTTCTTTAGGAAGCCCCAGACCTGAGACGATGGTTGAGTTCCACTGGCATAGGCAGACTTGTCCTGAGCCAGTGGGGCCAGAGTGGCAGCAATTTTATACAGACTGTCCCCTCATGCAACATACACTTCATTCTAGAAACAATCCCTCATTCCAGAAAGATGTAGTACACTTGCAGAAATGGCTGCCTGGACTCCCAGCCCCAAACCCTCAGGAGACAAAGAAAACCAAGCAGAAGAACCAGGGATCCTCTTGTTAAACATTTCACTCCTTCCAGGATCACTTAATAAAGAGGAATGGCCTGTTGGTGGTCGTCTGGACCACTGATTTCTCTGTCCTGACCCATGTATCTACCTGAATGTCCTTGTTCGGTCTGTGCCTTGGCTTTCGAGGTCTGTCATTCAGCTCAGGAGAAATGAACTGGATATTGGATTGGCACCCCAGCCCATTACTGTAGTAAGATTTCTTCCAGGAGTAGGAAAAGATCTGCTCCACATAGCGTAATTATAATGCTTAAGCCCCAGAAAAAAAAAGGAGATTTGTTTGGAAAAAAGCATGGCTTTCAGTTAAAATGAGCTTAAAATTCTCAGCTGTGGTCCGGGGTTGGAGTGTTCCAACCGTGTCTTTAAATTTTAGCCAGACTGTCTAGGCTGAGTGAGTGTCCTTTAACTGTGGTCAGGGTCCTCGGATAGTTCATTCATTAATCTTTTGTTCAAATTAAATAGAAGATACTTTATTCATCCCTTTTAAACAACCTAAGCACATTGTTTAGAATAGCTTTAAATGAAACCCCCTAGGGTGGGGAAGGAAGAGCCTCAGTGAGATGCTCTGAGCCCAACACTCCAAAAAACAGCCTCCTCATTTTATACAGCTGTTATGAGCTGGAGTGGGGTGTGTTCATTTCTGCCATGGAAAGAGGTTACAGATCATGAAGAAAGAAGTCTGATCATCTGCTGACTCTACATTTGTGAGGTGAAACCTATTGTGTGGCTCACCCAGGCTCAGCTGCCTCCCTGGGCTGTCCTGTACCTGAGAGGAGAGATAAGATGGGGCTGCTTGGTAGTGACCCTTCCTGGCTCTTGCTATGCTGCTGGGCCCTATAGGTTCACAGTTTCTCTCTGAAGAGCTTGAAGTCTTGTGGATGCATTTCAAACATGCAGAGTGTTAGCTTTCACTGTTTATGTGTTAGGGAAGAGGATGATGAGGCTTCCTTGCCTTCCAAAATCCAACCAAAAATTGAGCTGCTCCTGGTCAGTTTAGTCTGTCTCAGTGTCAGACAGTTGCAGAATTACAGTGCCCAGCGTAGCCCATGTCTGAAGAGTGCTAGCTGCTACTGCTCTAGCTCAGGTTTGACTTTGTTTCCTTGCTGGGCTATGCATCTGTCTGTCTGTCTGTCTGTCTGTCTGTCTGTCTGTCTGTCTGTCTGTCTGTCTGTCTGTCTGTCTGTCTGTCTGTCTGTCTGTCTGTCTGTCTGTCTGTCTGTCTGTCTGTCTGTCTGTCTGTCTGTCTGTCTGTCTGTGTGTATATAGCATCCCTATCTGTCCACTTGTCTTTCTCTCCCTCCTTCCCCTCTCCTCATGGCCTTTGGTCAGACATCTCTACAACTGTATTGTTTTCAGTACTATGCTTGTGCTCTTTGTAGATCAGGATGATGACTTCTTTAAAGCTTGAGGAAGACTTCGAGACTTCTGAGAACCTATCTGACATGTCTTAACAAGCAGTGTGGAGCATCAGTTCCTTTAGCCAGGTGCCCCCCCATCCTACTTCCTGTTTGCCACCAAATCCCATGCTTAGCAGGGAGGTGGTCTAGGATATCTCTCCAAACCATCAATGACCTTGCCATTTGTTATGCCTTTCTTGGCAGTAGAAGCAGAACACCTTTATTTTTTTCCTTATATTTAGGATATTTTTATTTCCTATCTCGAACTTTATATTGACTACAAAAACCCAAGATGATATTTTCGTGGTGTTTGGACTAACAGTTATAACAACTTCAAGAAATCAAGAGACTTTGAGGAGAAAGGGCAACGGGAGCCTGCTTGTGTCAAGCAGTGTTGCTGGTCTCCTTTGGACTACTGGTTCTCCAGTGTGTGACCTGGCTCTCACAACCCCCACAGTCTGGAGTCATGCTACTAGCCTTCTTTTCCTTCTTGCCTCTGGATGTTGTTCCTCTAAAGAATGTGAGCCATGCTCAGTGGCCTGGAGATGTAGGCCTCTATTCTTACTGCACTTGGTGGCAGCAGAGGACAAGGATTCTTCATATCCTGAGCTGGAATTCACAAACTTTCTCCAGGGAGCAAAGAAGCTTGAGGAGGGGAATCAGGCCACAGCACAGATTGCCTGGACCTTTTAAAAGAAGGCATTGCATGTCGAATTTCCTTCTTTGAGAGTGGCCTGAGATATTAGTCACTATTAAGGTTTGGTTAGGCAAATAATCTTCACAGATGGGCATAGCAGCCCATTTGAATCTTGGCGACTCTTTAGATTTAAAAGCACGCATTCGCACGCACACACACCTATCACAGCAGGACTTATTCAAGAAAGTACAGGGTAAATTTAGAAAGACAGATAGTATCTTGATGGACAAGAGAGAAGAAGGACATCCCAAATGTGGCACATGATCTTGAACCTTCCTTGCCAACCTTTTAAGGGAGGACTAGTTGGAAGAACTAACTCTGAATGTTTGGTTTTGGAACATGTTAGGTCAGGCCGAGAAGAATCAACTCAGGACTGTTAGGCTCAGGACTGCTGTGTTCAGAAGGGCCTGCTTACAGAGTTCATGTGTGGTCTTTTTTTTTTTTTTTTTTTTTTTTTTTTTTTTTCAAGAAGGGGTTTTTTGTGTATTCCTAGCTATCCCAGAACTCACTTTGTAGACCAGGCTGTCTTTGAACTCATGGAGATCTGCCTACCTCTGCCTCCTGAGTACTGGGACTCAAGGCGTGTGCCACCATGCCCTTTGTAAAAGCTAACTGTGCCTGAATCGTTTATGAAAACAACATAGTTTATGCTGCAGACATGCTTTATTGCTGGAGTCTGGGATTGCTGCCTGAGCGAGGCAGAGTGCTAATGAGATCAGCCCCAAGTCTCTGTTGAGCTTCGTGTCTGCTATCATAATGGACTCCTTGGGTAGGAGCACTCTTGAAACCATGTATCATGTATCACATCATCCTATGCATCTCTTCTTTTTGTTGGTTTTACCATTTCCTCTCTCATTGCAATATATCATTGCCATAAGTATGAATGTGCCTTGAGTCTGTAGTGTTCCTGGTAAATCATAATGGAGATGGTTTGGGGTTCCTGAACAAGAGGCATAATGGTGATTATTATTGTATATGTGGAGTAGGGTATATAGTCTGCTCTAGGAACTTCCACAAAATAAGTAATTCTCCTGGTCCTTCCTTGTAAGTTTTTTTTTTTTTTTTTTTGATGATCAAGATTTGTGTGCTTTTAAATAAAACAAAAAGAAATGTGAGAAATATACTTTATAAGAAAATATATTTTTATATGCCATTAAATTTATCATAAGCTGCAGGAGCACCATGTACTAAGGGTCATATTTTGTTGAATTATAGAAATTCAGACGGCGTGTTCAAGAATCTACACAAGTGCTAAGAGAACTGGAAATCTCATTAAGAACCAACCACATTGGGTAAGTATGCCCCTGTAACATGTTATTACTAACATTTATTTTAGAAAGTGATTGAATTGTACCTAAGATTTGAGCTTCTGTTACTTACTAAAAGACCAAGGTTTCGATAAGGGGAGTTAGTCCCCTGATCACTGATTCTAAATAGAGTCAGAACAGATAGGGTATTGACTTGGATATTTAGAACAATTCTGTATTTACTTGCTTGGATGAAGTAAATATGGACTGTTCGTGACAAGTGCTTGCCCTTTTGTATGTGTGACAGTGCTCTAACAACCGATTAACATTTAAGAATGGTGTAAATTGAGATCCTTGAACTCAGCCTTCAGGCTGCTTAGTTGAAGCTGCTTTGCCTTTCCTTAATTTCTTTCCATTCACAAATGAATGGAAACTGGAATGGTGTTGTCTTTGCATTTGAGGCATATTTTGAGTCTCTTTCTTACATGTTAAATACTTGAGACCATGATCTAGTGAAAATGAAGTTCATGGAATCAGTACACTAAACATTTCTGAGAGTTCTTTTTTTGCATCAGTGGTTGCTTTTCCTGAATTTTTTTTTTTACCAGCTTGGCCTTGAACTCACTATGTAACCAGGCTGGCTTTGGACTCAAAACAGTCCTCCTGTGTTAGCTTCTCTGAATACAGACATGAACAAAGTATAGTCAAACATTGGATAAGTTATTTACATTGACTTTGTGGGTTTACCATGAGAGAGAGAAGACTATAGACCTTAATATCTTTTCAAATGTTCCCCTCTGGCTTCTTTTGCTGGTCTGTTAAACTAGAATTATATATCTATGTTATATTGTAGTTGTATTGAGTATTCTGTAAAATTAGATGTATGGCATACATAGCAATTTACTTCTGTTTTAGACTGACTGATATAAGCTAATTAGATGTTTAATTAGTATGGTTACTTCAGATTTTTACTTAAGTATGGAAATGATAGTGCAGGGTCTAGTAGGGAGACTTTAAGGTAGAATGCCCATTTCTTAAAGGCTACCTTGTCATGCTTGTCATCTTGAAAAATGGAATCTTCATAAAACTAACAGATTCTTGGCTTTGTCTCCAAAAAAAAAATGGACTATAGAAAAGCAAATCATAAAATCATGATTTTGAAACTGGCAAAGTTGTCTAATCTCATTTTCAAGACTCAAAGAATTAAGCATCAGAGACAGTTATGAGAACTGCAGTGTCCACAGCTTTAAAGCCCATGCTTTGGCTCAAAAACACTTTGGTCTTTTTTAGTTCATTGCTTTCCTTAGCAGCCCTTTCTGAAAGAATTAAGGTTGTCAGGCCCTGGGTTCAAAGCAGTGAGGCCTGTCTGTCTCCAGATGCAGGTGGTGGTGGTGGTTTAATGCAGTGGAGCACCTGAACTTAGGAAATTAAATAGCTCCTATTATTTATGAACCAGGAACTAGAGTTTATTTGGTGATGGCCCAACTCTACACCTTGGCAATTCTCAACTGAAAATGGTGGAATAATTTATAGCCAGGATTTCTACAAATTGTTGAAAAGTGTATCTTCAAGCATTGCCCATCAAGTTCATTTCTAATACTAAGTAGGAGGAATAGATGAGCCTGTGCAGACTTTAGGCAGCTGGAGTGATTTGTTGATGATGTTACAGTAGGCTTTCTCCTTTCGTCTTCAGCAGCTGTGATTTTCCCACTTGCTTATGTAAGATCCTTGGAAACATGGCTATAGTACTGAAGAATTCCAGGGGGTGGATGCAAATCATTCACATTGAATGAAACCACACACCAGGATTTTGACTTCTGTTGCTTATCTTGAAGACTCAAGTCTTAACCAGTCCTTTTGTTCTGCCAGTTTACTGGCTTTACCTCACTTGGTAGGAACAAATTCTGGAATTACCAACTAATGAACTTATCAATTGCTACCAGGAGGAATTTTTGTGTTCTATGATGGACAGGTTGTTTTTTTTTTTTTTTTTTTTTTTTTTTTTTTTTTTTTTGTACTCTGGGTAATAGAAAGATAATTGGACACCTGTTCTTCTGATGACGAGATCTTGACACAGGCCTTTGCTGTGACTCCTTTTTATTAATTTGACCTTTGTTAAACTGAAATTACACAAGCTCTCTGCACTTACTATGTGACCTAGATTAACATCTCACCTGTTAAATGAGAATAGCAGTGATATACTCATAGGAATGAAATGCCCACTATAGGATCAGATGCCCAATACTCAATATATAATAGCTATTTTATTTTTTATATTTTATTTTCTTAGGCTTGCTGAGGAGAATCTCTACAAATCAACAATAGAATATAACATGTTCCTAAGGAATTCCAAGTGTAGAATGTGATTTTGGTCTACCTAAAATGGCCCGAGCATTTGAGAGATTATGATTTCCAGAAACTAAAAGCTGAAATTACATTTAAAATCCATTTATCCTGAAAAGGCTATTCTTGGCACATGCTTGGGTTTCAAGGTTAAAGTATCGAGTGGGCATTGCTAAGGTAACAATCTAAGCTGCAGCCATGTCGTAAAGGGCTTGTTCTGAGTTTTGAGCTAAACCTAAAAGTCCATAAATGGAATGATCTTTCAAGAAAGAAAATTAATTTTTTTGAACTATGTTGAAATAAGACTTTGGCTAGGAATAATCTCATTCACTTACTGTTATGTTAGGAGCTATAGCATTGGAGAAGAATTGGATTATGACTTATCCAAACCCCTGAAATTACTTGAAATACCCTTGAAAAAGAACCAAGTATCATTACAACACACTGGCAAGTAATATGAGTGGGCCGAAGCCAAGGTGCCTCAGATGTCTGGGGGACTGCTGTGATGGTGAGGGTGTGCCAGAGAGATTGGCTAGCTTTATTCCAAGGGACTGCGGTGTAGGTGATTTATTTTAGTATCATTGCCTGTAATGACGGAAAATTACTTTTCAGTCTGAATGCAAGGTCACAGACGCTATAAAAGATGTTCACTTCACTTGTGGGTGGTTAAGACAAAACAGGCATGAAAAATGTAGCAAATTGGCCAGGGGTTGGGGGCCTATGTGGAAAAGAGAAGGCACTGAGGAACTGCACAGTGAAGGTCTTTTCTGCTGTCAGGCTTTCTGTGGGCCAGTGATGGCTGGAGCTGGACCCAGTCAAAGAAGAAAGAGAAGAGCGTGGCCAGCGCTCTCCTAAGATGTGTACGAATTGTGCATGTGTGCATACGTCTACCCTGTGATCAGTCCACTCTTACATGGTGCTGCTTTGGGAATCATCAAAGTCATAGTCATTTTGTCATTTGTTGGACATATTGATTGCATTATCTCACAGAAAAATATTTGTGTTATTTCTCTGTACCCTGTGCCACTGTTATGTATGTGGGAAGATTGCAGGTCAGCTGCTAATTATTTTATTCTACTCCATGCCAGTTAGAAGTGCTGACTTGTCTACATCTAAAGCTTATTTGTCCATACAATAGTTCCCACACTTTCTGACATTCTAGACTCTTTTATTCAAGCTAAGTGTTTTGAACTTCAATAACTTGCTGTTGCTTATATGAATTGAACCTAGTAACATTTACCACATTAGAAACTAAACTTGACAAACTCTAAGTTTACTTAATAGGTAATATTTAATAGCAAACTTTTAATGTATAAACATAAACACTGCTGTGAATATTAGCACATATAACATTTCATGAAACTGTAACTATTTAACTAAACAACAAAAATTCCCTGTAAAGAATAGCTTTATTTGTTTCTTCATAAAAATTCTTGAGACCCTTCTTTGGTATCTTTGTAATAGAAGGCAGCTGGGTTTTCCTGACCCTGCATTCAGCTTGTTTTGATGTTTACTTTTGTTTTGTGGAGATGAAGAACATTTGGAAAATATGAGTTTTTAAGTGTCTTTTCCAGATAATTGTGGGGATTCTTCTGATAGTACATAAAATTCTCTGAGTGAAAATGCCCAGAAGGGCTAATAACGGACTGTATTCTGTTAAAATTCACTGTCCTATCTCAGTGCTCTGAGTGGATGTTTTTACCCATGGATCCTATAGCATGGTTGCTGAACTGACCATTTGAAAAGTAGGCATGCTGAGGTGATCTGCCCTTTCCATTGTTGCTCTGCCCTTTCTAACATGTAATCCTATAATTATTTTTTAAGAAATTATTTTGTTAATAATCACTGATGCCTTTGGGACACAGTTTTAAGCTACCAAACTAATATAAATACACTTTTCCTAAATTCTTAATTTTTATTTAAGCTGAAAATTTACCATTAGTGACAAATACTGCCTGTTTTCTCCAAATCAATGGGCTGACCTCATGCATTTTTGAGGAAATGTCTTTCAAATACCCAAAATATTGTCATTATAGTTTGTAAGTCATTTTTGTAAGTGAATTGGCAGTCCATTAAAAAAAAAAATGGCTCCTTTCTCGACCCTCTCAAGACTGCTGAAGTGCATGGGTGGGCAGCAGATGTTTTTATGTGGCTTCTGATTAGTCACAGGGACTGAGAAAGATGTGTACTCGAGCATCAAGCTTTAGAAAATTTACTGATTTCCTTCAGTGGGGGTGCTTTTGTCCCCTCAGTGCATAGAGTGAAGAATGTGATAAACAGATCCATGTTTCGTTCTCAGCAGTTTTCCCCACTCTCTTTCACAGTGAAGCATGTCAGGGTCAGCAAAGGATGTTTGTTTTGTTTTGTTTTGCTTAGATGCTGGCAGTTTAAACCCAAGCCTTTGCATGTATCAAGTCTTAATACATTTAGGAAACTAGATCAACCCTAGAGGTATGTTGAGTGACCTCCAAGGACTCCTAGTGGTGATTCAGTATGCATTGTGAACTGGGTTGCTACAGTTCAGGAGTGGGCTTGACTCTGGTTTATATTGACCTCTCTCTTGTCCCCTGATTTTCAGCACCTTTCTTTCCAACTACCCACTCAACTGTCAGACTTTCTCTACAGGAGCCTGGCAAAGGGGTAACACTTGTCCTTTCTTTTGTGCCTCTTGCCATTTTGCTTGACCTTGGCAGTCACACGCCAGGAGGGTTTTTTAAGACTTTATTTTCTGTGTGAAGAAATTTGGCTGTAAGATTTTAGGAGGCAAGGAGAACAAAACTTTGAAACCACATTGTGAGCAGCCTGCATTTCAGTACTGATTTGTTTGCATTTGCACGTAAAGCCCTTCTTTGACCACAGTCTCCCCCAACCCCCAGCCACCCCCCCCCCCCACCAAGCATCTGATTTGGAATTTGCCTAAATTCAAATTTATAACATATGGTAATCACATTTGAATTTGCAAGGCACTCAGGAAGTAATACATGCTGTCAGAGTCAGAAATAATTCTGTTTTCCAAAACTTATAATCACCCAATTGAAACTGTTTGCCTATTGGCAGCATATAAAACAGTCTGGAGCATGTACGGAGAGAAGCGAGCTGTACAGATGTGACAGACTCACTGTATGATCAAGTGCATAAGTTTACAGCATGGAGTATCTCCCCCGTCCCAATTATTTCTATTTATTTGTGTTTATTGGGGGTAGGGCATGTATGGAGATCAGAAGACAACATGCGGGAGGCAAGTGTTTCTTTCTTCTATCCTGTGTGTCCCAGGGATTGAGTTCAGGCTTGGAGGCAGAGGAGTCCTTACCTGTTGAGCCAAGTTTCTGGCCCCCATATTCCTTTCACTCCCTGAGTTTTGAGACATCCCTTTAACATCTTTACCCATTTTTTTTCCTTACTCTTGGCAGTTTGTGGATGATCACTCTGGACTGCTCTCACGCATGCAGACTTTCCCAGTCAGAGAAGGGGTTGTGACCAAGAGGATGGGGGAGAGGACTCTTTACAAGTCATATCTGTACTGCAGTGTGACTTAGTTACGCGAGCGTCATTTATACCCAAGGCAAGGCAATGAATGCCTGATGTCTCGGTCTTTAGTCCTAAAGTCTTATAGCAACCAAGGAGGATCCTCCAACTTTAGGACCAGAATTAGTTTTTGTGACATTAAACCAGAGGCAAGTCATGCTATTTTAGGATATAAGCAGTGGGTTCCTGTTTCACTTTGAAATTATCTTTCTGGGGCTTTTGCTTATAGTTACCAACTGAAATGTCAATTAGGATGTTGATGTAAAGAAGCAAATTAACCCTTGTTCCTGCATCAGAATCTACTACACACATTAACATGTCAAATCAAAAGATGTATAGAATTGCTCTCCTTGGCTATTTCCTGTTTTGTTGAGTTCAAGTTCCTCATGTCTGGGTTAGTTATCTGCCCGTGCAAGTTGTGGCTGTCCTTCTTATCTAAATGAGATGGAGGTGCCATGATGTCCTGGGGTGTCTGTGCTCCTTGTGGAAGTGTGTGCAGAAGAGCTTCAATGGCTGTCCTTCTTAACTATCCCGTCATGGAAATCAAACAAACAAACAAACAAACAAAGAATATGTGAAACTGAGCCTGTCCTGAATAACCTGGAATTTAGTGGTTCTTTTTCATGTTAAAAAGATCTGACTCAGCTGTTAAGAACACTGGCTGTTCTTCCGAGTACATGGGTTCAATTCCCAGCACCCACATGGCAGCTTACAACTGTCTATAACTCTAGTTCCAGGGGATCCTACACACTCACACAAGACACACATGCAGTCAAAATGCCAATGTACATATAATAAAAATAAATCATTAAAAAAAGACAGCAATCTTTGCAGGACAGTTTGCATTGTGCAGTCAGAACATTGGTCCAGAGCAGTGGAGAAGAGAAGAGAAAGAAGCCCAGGGTCCTCATTAGTAGCAGCATCCCTGGCGTTCACAAGGAATGCTAGGTGTTCCCTAGTCCCCTGCCACTTACAAGAAATACCTTTTTCCCTTCTCTTTTTAAGTTTCTATCATCATTTAAAAAATCTTCGGTTGCCAGGCAGTGGTGGTGCACACCTTTAATCACACAATCAGGAAACAGAGGCAGGCGGATCTCTGTGAGTTTGAGTCTAGCCTGGTCTATACACTGAGTTCCAGGATAGCCAGGGCTAAAAAGAGAAACCCTGTCTTGAAAAACAAAAGTTCACTGTCTCTGGAGACTTTGTTGCACAGGGAGTTGTTAAATATAGTATCTGGAAGTGGATGTGGTGAGATCATGTGTGTGACTGTTCTTGGAATGTTCTGCCTCCACCAGTACACAGTCCTGTGAGCTGTGTGTAGGTCTACTGACAAAGCCACTCTGTGAGACCCAACAGATGGGTTTTCTTTGCTGCCCAGGCTCCTCTTAAATGTTTACACACAGCTATGGTTAAGTGCGTACCTTTGGTGGTGGCTGTCTGAAGTATCTGGAAGAAGATTGTTAAGTCAGGCTTTCTGATTTCTCCCCTTCCTGACTCCTTATACATCCTATATACCTGTATATCAAGATGAAAGGGCCAGAAGAGAGGAGACAGGAGAAAAAGTTAAAAACAAACAAACAAACCAGAAAACAAAACAATCAAAACAAACAAAACAGGTATCTGGAGTCTACTCCATTTTTCTTGCACCACTAGTCTCTTCAACACATGGACCATTTTTCTGCTGCTGTTTTCACAGCTAGCAAGCATGGCTTCCCCAGTGTGCTGCATCCTTTGCCAGGCAGCCTTTGACACAGAGGGACAAAACCACTTTGAGTTGCAGTGTGTGGCTGTGGCCCTTGTGTTATTGCAGTGATCTTTATACCCACCCATGGGTGGAATTTCACACTGAGTGAAGGTTCCTTCTGCTATTCCAAGTCTCTGATGAGGAATGCATGGGCAGAAATGTGTGAAATCAGGTGACAGGATTTTATCCTCAGGCCTTAAAGTACTGATCCATCACCTTGTCTTTGGAGTCATTATGGACAGCAAATCCAAATGTGTGAGTACTCTTAGTGAACTGGTACACACCACTCAAATTCTAGCTAAAGAGAATGGTTTAAGAATGGATCTTTAAAACTGCCATGTGCTAGTCCTGCAGATGGTCTGTGGTATATCCAGGCTTTTTAAGGTTTTCATACTTGTGGAAAAAATTAATCAGGCTATTATCCCTATTGAATTTCCAGAGGCTCATAAGCATTGGCTTCTCATTGGTGGTTTGATGGTTTCTTTAGCTGGGTGTGCCAAAAGGGATTGAGCATAGAATTGGAGTCATGCCTCTGTCTCAGTGGCTATGGCACTATGTCCCCAATCTGCCTTACTCTTTAGAGTTGGCTCTTTCAGCAACCAGGCTAGGGATCATTTATGGTTGTGAGCACATTAGGACACATTCCTTTTCTTAGAAACCTTTTAGAAACTGGTCGTCCTAACTCTTCAAACAGTCAAGCACAAGGATGACATGCGAGTACTATTTACTCCTTATTTTTACGCAGTGACCTATGGTTTTCATACCCCATCCACAAGTGCCTACTACCTGAAAAAGGAGTCAAGGCCATGCTCTGTATTTCCTTTCAAACTTTGGATGTCTCGAGGGAAAAACCAGAACTACCCACCATGTCCTTCCCATATGTCCATAGACCATATGATCAATGTCACCAACAATTCTATTTTTCTTCTCCAGATGGGTCAGAGAGTTTTTGAATGAAGAAAATAAAGGCCTTGATGTTCTTGTGGAGTATCTGTCCTTTGCACAGTATGCAGTCACGTAAGTAAAACTTAACTTGCTTGCACATCAGTTTCACATAGTCCTCGAAGACGAAGCCCAGTGGTAAAAATCACATACCTCCACAAGCAGGTGGGGGAAAGTTTAAAGAGATTTATCTCTGATTTTTCAGCTAAAAAACAAATCACATAATTAGTGTTAGAAATGCCTTCAAGACATAAATTAAACAGGTTATTAAAAATCACCTTGAAGACCTTCTAGCTATCCTAGGGGGTCAAGCTCAGGACCTGGCCTTGCTACTGAGCTATATCGACAATGCAAAAGAATCACTTTCCTGAGGCCTTAAGTTACATAAATCTATATGGTAAAACACTAGAGTGGTGAATAAATAAAAGAAGTAGCAAAAAAGAAAAAAGAATGTCCTTTCACTTTTTATTAAATTTTGATATACTGTGGATTGGAGCAGGGACTGCACAAGGTAAACCTGTATTCTACCACTGACCCAAACCCAACTCTGTGGTATAACTGGGGTGTAGGTCAATAGTAAAGCATTTGCCTATCATGTGTGAGTCCATGAGTTCAATCCCAGCACTGAGGGAGAAATGATATAGGTGTGTTTTTGTCTGTTTTGGCAAATTAACAGATAAGGATGCAGTGCTAGATACCAACATAGCGGCCTGGGAGGAAGGAACACTGTTGTTCCCTTTTTTAAAATTGTCTATATATTTGTAGTCTTTGGTTTCCCGCCACATGCAGGGAAAGAACCTGGAGCAGGGCAGGGAAAAATTAAGTTGCTTAGCCTTATTATACTACACGGTTCTCCATTTTCATGACTTCTGGAATGGTTTCTAACAGAGCTACAAAGTGTACATTTGAATGAGACATTCTCTTTTCAACATTTCTCCTTTAATCAGGAAATAGTCCAAAACCCACAGATAGTCTCACATGTGCAGAGTGAAGCGGGAATGATGCTGTGTTTTTAATTAGACAGTGAAGATGCTTCGGCCCAGGTGCTGTTTGTTTTTCTCGTGTGTGTGTGTGTGTGTGTGTGTGTGTGTGTGTGTGTGTGTGTGTGTGTGTGTGTGTGTGTGTGTTTTTCACTTCTTTGGAGGGCATTGAGTCATTTGCAATTGGAGTACAGATAGTTGTGAGCTGCCTCGTGGTGTAGGAAAGTAAGGTCCTCTCTAAGAGCAGCAGGCGCTCTTAAACAGTGAGCACTCTCTCCAACCCTCCGTTGTTGTTCTTCTTTTTTTTTAAACAGTAACTTCTTGTTTTTATTATTTCCTCACTCTAAAGAGTGAGGAACTATCTGGCTGGGTAGTTTTCTCTAATCTCTGCCCCTTAACCCAATACTTATGAAGAAGAACTACAGTTATTATTACCCTATAGATTCATGGTTATTAACCAAATCTTGTATGATGGTTTCTCATATAGTATAAGAAATTGTTTTCTGAATATAATTCATAGTGTTCATGACATATTCCATCAAAAGGATATTTCTTAACCTATTTCTGCTACTTCATGTCTGCTAATCCCATGATGTATTATATAGTATAACAAAGAATATTCCCTCCTGCAAATTTTAAAATCTATAGAAACATTTATAGTATTTAAGCAAGACTATGAAAAATCAGAAATAAAGGGAAAAGAATTAACATTAAAATTGTTTACTATAGATAATGAATCCTTTACTTACTTGATAATAGGACTTGGAAGCCAGATTTCTCAAATATGCCCTCATGTCAGACCAGTGGGGGCAAGTCTGAGATACTGTGCAGGAATTCTGCAGTCTACAGTGTAAGTCAATTACCAGCTGAACAACTAGATTCAGTTTGTATTACCTGTTCTTGAGCCTTTGCGTGTGTTTTGGGGGCATTGGCTTTAAGCTATTTGTGTATTGGGTTTAGTTTAGTTTTGCTTTATGTAGATGATAAGTTAAATAATTTGTCTTTGATTTTAAAAATTTTTACTATACCCTGGTATTAGTAATTCTCCAGCCTGTGGAATGTGACATAACAGGTTCCGACTCTGAAATAGCAGAACCTACCAATTCCCTAAAGAGTGTGTTTCTTGCATTTTGGTCCTGTGCACATGGGAAGGACTGAGAGAAACGTGTGACATGAGCTTTGCTGAGTGACTTGTGACATGTCCATACCATGAATGCTCTTCATATGTCCCTTGAAGTCCTTTCCACCTCAGGAGGAGCCTTCCATTTTAGCATTTCAGGTTTTCTTAGACTACCCTATTTTGCCCCTCTCCCCTTCATCATTACTGCTGCATCCAGGGGCATGACAGAAAGATCTGTCATCAGCCCCCTATGCTGACTCTCTGTGCCTGTCCTTGTTATGTGATTAACCTGAAAAGTTAGAGACTATCCCCTAGTTTTTAGGTGGCCAATCTGATGGCTTTCTTCCCCCTTCTGGCAACCATGCTTTATAAGCATCTGTAGATGATTTCCAGCATACATTATTTTTTCTCCAAGATCTTTTATAGCCAGTCTTTCAGAGAATATGAACTGTTGCTGCTGTCTATTTGTTCTGCTGTCTGATCGGGCAGAACTGAGGGTGGAAACACTGCAGTATTCTTATGAGAAAGCAGAGTAACTCACTCCATGAGCAAGGAAATGTGTGGGACACAAAGGCCTGCTTGTTTAAAGACTAGGTTCCTAAGGCTACACGAGAATGAGCAACTCAACTTGCCACTTATTCCAACATGGTTAACATGAGTAATAACCTCAAAAAATGTCAGAGGAACAACAGTCTTCCTTTAAAGAGCACCACATTGGGGAGAGAATCCAAAATCAAAGCAAATCCATAGCCTCACTAGTAATGCATCACACATGGTTGGAAAAGTACTTGCTAATACACTAGGAGAAAATGCTCAGTGAGAAATTGATGGGTAGGAATGAATTGTTAAAGCAAAATGAAGACATCTGTGAGATCTCTTTCCTCTTTCCAGCCTAGCAGTGGTAGTGATTGGTAAGCCTTGAGCAAATAAGATGCAAACAATGTACAACCACCGATTTTAGCTGTTTGTTGTTAATGATTCTTTTGCCAGACCCTGTGTTTGTAATCCTCATGTTTTCCAAGCTAACACCAGATCCACAGAGATTTTTTGCATTTCCTTTGGCTGCAAAGACTTCTTGTATTATGGTGAAGACACATTTAAGGAGTAGCAGGTTGTGTATGTCCACGTATGTGTCTGAAAGTTAGTTTCTAAGTTTTGAGTAGCATTCCTTTTTTGTTTTAGTTTTGACTTTGAAAGTGTGGAAAGTACCGTGGAGAGTACAGTGGACAAATCAAAGCCCTGGAGTAGGTCCATCGAGGACCTGCACAGAGGGAACAACCTGCCCTCACCTGTGGGTAACAGTGTGTCCCGCTCTGGAAGACATTCTGCACTTCGGTAAGTGCCTTAACGAGATGCTTTGGCACTGCAGGGTCCTCCCTCCTTCTTCTGATCCTGGATGGACCTCATTATGTCTTTCCACATGGCTCTTTCTTCTCAAGTGAATCTGATCAACAACTTTGTAGGTGTTCATGGCCTGTTCCCTTGGCTTGTACTCTGTAGCTTTACATACACTTCTTAGAAACACCACGTTGTGATTCAGCATAGAAGGTGAGACACTTGTGACTAATAACATAGTGAAATAATCTCTAGCAGGTAAGTTCTTAACATGGATGGATGTTGATGTAGTGACCTCAATACTACCTGCAGGGTAGAGGCTGCACTTTACAATGTGAGCATCTAAGGAGCCCTGTAGCTCTGCAGCTGTTTGTGCTGCCCTCTCCTTCCACAGGCAGCACAGGTGTGTGCCTGTGCAGGGTGTGTCTTTAATCATAAGTCACAGTGTTTCAAAAGATAGATTTTTATAATGAAGTGCCACTAGGCATGTTGCTTTGGTCAGATACTCCTCATGTCAGCTTGGTGTTTTCTACTAATGACTCCATCTTACAGTTGATGCTGAAATGCTAGGATGCTACTCAAGGATCTGCACTGACTGCCTGTATCACCGATAGGGCATGCTGTTCTTTCAGACAGACCTGTAATCACTCACTGAGTGGAGAACTGGCTTTTATAATTTTCAAAGCACTGTACTTAGAGCTAACTGGTAAGGAAGTTACTACTCCTGCTAATAAAGACAGAAGTCATGTCTAAATTAAGTTGTTGAAGGTTTCTTAAACCTATGACTTGAATAAAGATTTGTGTGGTTAAAATCTTCATTCCCAAGTGCTGCTTCCTTTTGGTAGCTTACTAAAACCTTCTTATGTATTTCTGACATAACCTGGCAGGGCAATCTCACCTGAGTGTTTCGGATCTCCATAGGTTTTTGGGTCACTTAGAGTGTATGTGGTTACAGTCAAAGAGTATGTGGTTTCCAGGCATTGCATGTTTAGTTGCCTATTTATTACCTCATCCTCCTTTGACTTGGGTTTTAGTCCTGGAATGTTTAAGGAAATATCCTTCTCTGTAATGAAGCTCAGTTCTGCTGAAGGACTGAATGTTTGACTGTGAAGTCTCCAATAAACCATTTATATTTTCTTTGTTAGCAAACGCCAAAAATGGTGATGGATTTAGGATGAATTGATTCAGAAATAACAAGGAACAATATTCCATTTCACTTCCTGGTGTTTGCAGAGGGCCAGGGGTTGTTAGCATGTGTCAAATTCACACGTTGGCAGTGGAATGTATGTACTTATTTAGAGGCTAAAGCTAACTGTACAGGAAAAGTTCTGTAAGCATCCATAGGAAAAAATGCTTTGCACTATTTGACTATAATTACATATAAGGGGTTTAGTGTACATGGTACAATTTATTTTGTTTTTTTTTTGTCTTTGTTTACTTAGGAGGTATATATTGGTCAGCTGTCACTTTAACACAGGTTCATTTTCCTAAATAACTCATTGCGTGCTCTGGACTTTAGAAGGCAGGGCCCAGGGACATCAAAACTAGCCTGAAGACTAGGACACCACTCTCACATTCTTCCAGTTTGTGCTTCAACAGTTTGAACACCCAAGGAAGGGGACAATTGAATTTCATCAGAGAGTCAACACGGATTTGAATCCTATTGTTTATTTATTCATTCATAATTATTGGTTCTAAACAATGTGTACCAATGGTAGTTTAGCTCTTGTGATTCAACAGCCTTCAGAGCACAGCTGTCTGGTACATGTTACTTTTCATATACCCAAGGATTGTTTACATTTTCCCTCTGCTCCTCCTCCTCCTCCCCCTCCTCTCTCCCTTTCTTCCTTTGCTCTCAACACTCCTTCAGTTCCTGGTTTTCACTATGTTGCCTTCTTTCTCATTCTGCCTTCTCATGTCTGATTCTGTCCTTGTCCTTTCTTGTTCCACTGTCTCTTGTTCCGGTTTTATCCATCTGTCACATCACCACCAGCTTGGCTTCCCTGCCCAGGTGTCTTCAGCTCCAGTGCCACCTGAGCTGCTTCTCCTTCTGCTGCCTCTTTGAGTAGCTTTGGTTTACACACTGAAGATGAGGCTTCCAATTGGAACATCTCCTAAGTCACTGGAGAAAAGCCCCAGGAGAGCTGCCAGTGCGAGGTGGACTGGTCATACGACCATTCTAATATGGTAGCCTTTGTGTCATGACGCTGTCTTCTACACACTGATGCACTGTGTCATCATGTTATAGCTCCTCATCTTAAGAACTGACTGGGTCTTTTACAGTACAATGCATTTTTATTAATATCAAAATTCTTCTGAAAGTACTATTGTGTTTTCTGGTAGTCTTGCTTAGTGAATAAATATCTTTATGCCAAACACAGACTTGTTTCCTCTGCCTCATCTCCGGATAATTCCATAGATACATATTCTTAGTGTCCCTTGCCAAAAAGAATAGGTGACACTTAGGGAAAAAAAGATTTCAGGTAGTGTTAACACATTTTATAAATAAAGTTTGATTAAAGAAAAAAGAAAAAAAAGCACCCCATTATTAAATACAAGGTCTGAACAAAATTCTAATGCTAGCACAATTTCTTTCTTGGATTCCTACCTGATATTTTTAAACTACTTCATATTGATTGCAAAGCACCTTATGATACAGCACACCCCCTGACTTGTACCTGTGCCTGGGTTCTAAATCATCATCCACTTGGTCAAAGGGGAAATGTTGATGCCAATGCAGCAGACCTTGGCTTGTGGGTTCTCTGGAATGTGGCCTGTCTCCAGTTGAGAGCGATTCCACCAGTGTGCCTGCAGTTCCAGCTTCATTAACTGATGGAGTCCTGCACATCAGTGCATCTCATGGCTTGAGGAAAGGAATGGAGAACTAACTTGGACCTGGAAAGAGGGTCAGGTTTAAACTGGGTCTGTTGGTAATGGGTGGAGTTGTTCCTCAGGGTAAGAAAAGGCTACTCCTCACAGATGTGAGGCGTAAGGGCATGAGGTGAGTGGAGCCTTGCATCAAGGATGAGGCATGTTTGAGAAAGGAGGAGGAGTCTGGCCTTTCAGGGACAAGCCATGTGGTATGACAGATGTAGTTCTAGCACAGAGAAAGGTTGGAGAGTTCAAAGGTGGGAACACTGTGGACATCACCCCAGCTGACCTTGTCACTTGGGTGAAGGTACCGTGATACACATTGCTTTTAGGTTATTAACCACTAACCATCATTTTTTTTTCTGAAATGAATATTCTGCCTCAATGAGATGTCACTGTTTCCCCTCAAGCTTCCGTTTCTGTGGAACAGCATTTTCCAAGTAGTTATGATCTGACAGATTATTCCTGCTACCTATGGGTCAGCGACGAGCCGAGTTTAAGCTTAGCTTATGATGTATACTTCTGAACCAGTTGTCCCATTCCTCACATTGTTCAAAAAGGAATGTAAAGCACAGGCACAGATAGATAAAACATCACCATGACTTTTACTAAGGAGAAGAGTTTTTCCTAAATGAGCATAGTGTGCTGGGCACTGTGCTGAGGGCATCCTGTTGTCTCTGGGGATTGTTGGCAGTGTCACCAGTGTCACCTCTGCCTGTGATCACTGAAGGAAGAAGGGTTGGCAGTGAGGTGGTCTGACCCCAAACTTCACACTGTGCTGCCCTACCTCTTTTTTCATAGGGAATGTATTTTTTCTTTCTGGTAAATGTCCTATTGACTTACCAGTGTTCAAAGAAGCTATTTGTAGTCCTTCTCAGACAGTCTGTCACCCTAGAGACACATGACCTAGAGGAGATGCGCAACATACACTGGGCGTTTCATGTGTGTGTGAGAACACCAACTCAGCACCATTTTGCCTATAAAACAAGATTATTTAAAAGTTAAGCTTTTTTTTAAAAAAAATTCAACAAGTAGTATTTTATTTTCAATTAGTTTGTTGTGGGGGAAATTACCACATTTTTAGCTTCAACTATTACAGTCTCAGTTGCTCTCTGTGTTGTGTCTCTCTGTCTATGTCGTCTGCTTCTCTCTCTCTTTCTCTCTCTCTCTCTCTCTCTCGTTTGAACTTAGTTGCTTATTTCTATCTTACAGAAGGAGAGACTGTCCCCTGAAGTGCTCATCCTCTTCTCCTTCTCCGTTTTACCCCCACCCACATTCTAGAACATCCATCTGATTTTATGGTTCTCTTTATTGAGTTGTCACCTGAAATTTATTCTGTTCTTATTTCTTCTCCTTCTTACCATTTGTTTAAAGTTTCCATCGTAAAGGTTATTTAGTGAAGAACTTGACTTACTGTTGGTTTACAGGATCACTTAAAAGTGGAACATTGCCAAGAAAAATACTCTTCTCTAATCTTGAATTTTATCTGTCACTAAACGAGGTGGCAGGTGTTGATTGAAGTTTTTCGTTACCTGATTTAGAAAGGGAAAAAAAAACACTGTCAATGAGTTGAGAAAGTACCCAACCTTGTCACTGCTGTGCTGTGTGGCCCATTTAGGAAACAATAAGTTAAGAAGAATGGCACGAATTGTCTAGAACCCGTGGCATATTTTGAAGGCCAGACTGTGATTGTCAGTGTGATTTATTGAAAGCTTATGAGAATAGGGGTAGTTTAGGATGACATACTTTGGCTTTAGTGTCACAGGAGTGAGAGGGTTTCGTCGGTTATGCTTCACAGGGCTGTGTGCTGCTTAGCTAGCTGTCCCATAGCAAAGGCCTGCAAAGGAAACAGGATGGGAAGTCAGACATTGCAGGTTAACAAAGACGTTTCATTCATATCCTGAGCTAACACCTTCCTTTCACTCACCTTGTAAAGCAGTTCCAGCTGTTATCTGGGTCTCCAGTGGAAACATAAAGCATGCGGAACATTCCAGTCCTTATTAAAAACAATCAACATTTCCGTTTCTCCCTTCTTCCCTCCCTCATTGTCTCTGTCTCCACCTCTCTTTCCCTACCTCCCTTTTCTATATTTTGAACTGTTTTTATGGAACTATTTCAGCTTTGTTTCT